AAAAAGTAACGAAAAAAAAGCCAATTGTTATTTTTTTTTTAGTTACCACCTAGAGCTTTTTTGTTATTTTTGTAAAAACCACGTTGTCTCTTATATCAGAAGTGTTCATTCGAATAAAATAAGAAAAGATAAAAAACGAAAACCTTTAACAACAATTTTTTTCTATATCTATAATCTTTCTTTAGCCAATAAACTTTTTAAAAAAAAAGTGCCAAGAAAAAGTACAACAAATGACAGAAATGCTTTTCAAACTATCCAAAATCAAGAGCAATGTCCTTTGTTTATACAGTTCTCTAAGCAGCTATCACCAATTAGTTTACCACAATTAATGCTGTAGGTAGATAACTTTGAAGCAAGTGATGCATAATTTCTCGATCGACGACAAACTGTGCGATCGCACAACTCCAGATGCCTTTAATTGTTAAATACAGTAATAAAGTAGAATGCTTCTTGTTATCAAAAAAACACTGCAGTTTATATTTTTGAGTAAATTATCTTTGCTGGCATTGTTATCTAAAGTGATTAGAATATCTTTTAAATGTTTTCAAAAAATTATTCTTTTTTAAATGCATTTTCTGAATTTTTTATAGTTATAGTTAGAAAACAGCGTGATAAAGTGACGAAAATTTGTCACTATGAGTAAGGAATTACAAGAAACCAGTGACATACGTAGTGTTCTTTAAGGTTGGTTTAATTTCTTTAAGCCGCATGTCCGGCATCATAATATCCTCGTTGATCCCAATTGAGTTTGGTTCATTCCATTCAACTTTTAGTTGTTCCACATCGTAAGCATCTGTAAATTGTTTTTTTTTCACCGTCGTTCACCACTGCTGATTGTTTAGCAGTTACAAAACTTTTTATTTTTCTTAGCATTCTATTATCTTGATAGAGATCAATTACTGCCAAAATAATTGACAAGATAAACAAAACCACTCACAGCTGAGAATCCGTAGCTTCTGGTATTTGTTTCTAAAAAATCAAATGATGGAGAAATATTCCTTGTGAAGCGGCAGTTGACCTCCCATGAGTATTTTAAACCACTCCCATTTTACACCGAAGAAAGGCAA